AAGACTCTTCTGTTGGTGTGTGCTCTCATTTGCTGTTTCCTGCCTGTGTTTGGTCCACATTTGGGCCATTTTTTGGTTAATTTTCCATTTTTAAATATTTTTTAATATTATTTTTTAATATTATTTTTTAATATTATTTTAATATTATTCTTAAAAAATAAAAAATATTCAAAAAATTCGTTAATATTTACAAAATTTTGTAAATACCAAAACTTTTTTTGGGAAAGTTTTGTAATTATTTTAAATATCGAAACAAAAAAACGCCCCAATTACAAAACGATTTTAGAAACAAATTTTTTCTTGATCAAACAGGCCTAATAGATATATATATATGGGGGAGGGGGGGACTCATGAACCCAAGCAAGAAGTACAACCCATAAAGTATGTTCATTAATTAACAATGCATTTTGTCAGGTACAAAATGGGGAAACATGAGAAATATTGGCAATAATGTTAGGTTTTATGATTATTGGCACTATAAGCTGCTTATATAATAGGTAAGGGTAGTACTGAAAAAATATAGCTCCCAATATGCATTACCTGTCTCATAGTAATGGCGATGGTTATGTTTTAATTACAGAAAACAAACAAGCAAGAGGACTTGGTAGTTTCTATCTATTAACCTATGCAAATTGAAATGTCTCTTTCTCGAAGGAAGAATTATGCTCCATACTTCTCATTCACAGCAGATCATTATTGAATTCGATCATGTTAATGTATAATGGATTCACACCATGTTCATAATTATCAGTCCAACTGGCTATATGCTGAATTCTGGTAAGTACAGAAATATATGGAATAGTGCTCCCTGATGCATCTAAGGGCCCTTCCACACAGCCATATAACCCAGAATATCAAAGCAGAAAATCCCACAATATCTGCTTTGAACTGGGTTATCTGAGTCCACACTGCCATATATTCCAGTTCAAAGCAGATCATAGATGTGAGATTTTATTCAGCTGTGTGGAAGGGGTCTGAGATATGATGGCTGAACTTTGGCCAATTCTGCATTATTGGCAATTTTAAAGGAGCGTAAAAGCTGACAAAGCTTTGTAGTATATTATTCCCTGTTACTTCAGGAACAAGGTCGAACATCTCTCCTTCCTTTCTTTGTGGCTGTCACTTACTAATTATTACGTATCTCCCCTTACGTCCCACCTCGAAATTTATGATCTTCTGGGGAGGTCCTACTCTCGATCCCACCTTTGTTGCAAATGCGCTTGGTGGAGATGAGGGACAAGGCCTTCTCGGTGGTGGCCCCCCACCTGTGGAACTCACTCCCCAGCAAAATTAGGTCAACTGCTTCCCTCCTTTCCTTTAGGAAAAAGTTGAAGACGTGGCTATGGGACCAGGCATTCGGATAGCAGGTTGACAATAAAAACGATGACAATGCAATGGAAAATGGACTGTGGACTGGCTTTGGATTAAGCTGTTGATTGTTGAATTCACACTATTTGTATTATTTGAAATGTTTTTAATCTAATTTATTGTTTATTTATTTATGTAACTGTTGTTTTATCTGTTGTATATATGGGGCATTAAATTGTTGCTGGCTGTAAGCAACCCTGAGTCCCCCTTCAGGGGTAGAGAAGGTGGAGTACAAATATTTGAAATAAATAAATGTCTTCGCTCTTGGCTACACTCAAAGTAGAAATCCTATATTTCCTGTCAATTAGATTCAACCTTGTATTGTACATAATATGGATCTCTCTTATGAGTTGTTGGTGGCTGTTCCTGTGTGCCTACAAGTCATTTCTGATCTATATTGTGGGTTCTTATTGGCAAGATCTGTTCTGAAAACATCTGTCATTGCCTTGCTCTGAGGTTGCAAGAGTAAGACTTATCCAAGATCACCCTGAGGTCTTCATGGCCAAGCGGGGAATTGAATAATGGTTTTCAGAGTCTTCATCCAATGCTCAAACTATTCACCATGCAGGCTCTCAAATATATACTGAAAGGCATAAAATGAACACAAAGAGGGAGGGAGGAGAGATCACAAATGCTTTTGCAATGGTTTATTACCAGGCCCTTTATTGCACAATTAAGGAGAAAGGTGAAAACATAAAGTCTTCCAAAGACCTAAAAGGTATCCAACAAGATATAAAAGCAGCTTCCTGACAAACATGACATCACAGAAATGATGTTGCAATATTTTTCAATGTACGTTGTGACACTTCATCTCTGCTTTCCCTTGTCTTCTTTTATTATAGGGAGCCATCCCTGGCCTTTGCCATTTCTCTCTCCTTGTTCTAAGCTAGAGGGAGTAGCCTGGCCCGGCCATAGGTTTTTAAATGCTTGTGTGTTACTGTTTACTGTTTATGTGATTTATATTAATTTATTGTATTGATTGTTTTTGTTATTGCTTTTTGTCATTATGTACTGTGGGCTTGGCCTCACGTAAGCCGCACCGAGTCCCTTGGGGAGATGGTAGCGGGTATAAATAAATTATTATTATTATTATTATTATTATTATTATTATTATTATTATCTTGTACTAAGCCTCGATTTGGAGAAGGAAAAAGTAGCAAAATATTAGTCCTCCTTGGGCTGGAAAGAAATGTAACTATTAGGCCTGGGTAACAACGGAAAAATTTGTTTCTAAAATCGATTCGTTTTTTGGGGTTTTTTGCGTTTCGATATTTAAAAGAATTCCGATTTTTTTAAAAAAAAAGTTCGATATTTACGAAATTTCGTAAATGGTAAAAAAATTACAAAACAATAATGAAACAATAACGAAACAATAACGAATCGATTCGTTAATGGCGGACGCGACCGCGCAATACGCTAAAAAACCTCCAAATGGGACAGGGGGAACTTCTGAAGCTTCCCTCTCCCTCTGTTGTTGACTGTTGGTGTGATATTATAATTTTTTTTCACTAATTAAACAAAAAACAACTATAAAACTTGCCCCAGACATGCGGAAATAACGAAACGACCTCAAACCAATAACGAAACGAATACATAACGAAATACGAAGCATTTACGAAACGAATTGAAAAATTCGTTTCGTTTTTAAGTTGCTCCAGAATGGTTCGTTATCGCTTCGTTAACAAAAAAAAAATAACGAATTTTTAACGAATTACGAATTAACGAAACGAAACCGCCCAGCCCTAGTAACTAACTATGCAAACTGCTTAACCAAAACTCTGGGGGGAAAAAGTTGACAAAATGTTACAAGAACAAGATTCATGTCTCATGTTGGTGTTGGGTTTTTAGTTTTGTTTTTTTGTTTGTTTGTTTGTTTTGTTTTCAAGAAGTCGCATTTGCTGCTGTTATTTGCAACTCTCTCAGAAGTTTGAAAAGAAGTATCGCAGTCATGGGGATGAATGGGTATTGCCCCCTGCTAACTGCTGGGGTGAGATATTGCTCTTTTGACCCAATGAATGGCAAACAGAATATCCTTTTTTTCCTTTACAAACCAATACTTGTGAAAGAAATAATAAAATGCAAGCCAGACAAATCAGGAGTGTAAAGTCAGGTTTTGTTTTTTTTTTGAGCTATGCTCTAAAGCAGGGGTCCTCAAACTACAGCCCGGGGGCCGGATACGGCCCTCCAAGGTCATTTACCCGGCCCTCGCTCAGGGTCAACCTAAGTCTGAAATGACTTGAAAGCACACAACAACAACTCGGTGCGGCTTACAGTAGGCTGAGACCCAATACAACAATAAACAAGACAACAACAATACAGCAGTAAATAAAACTCAAGCAATAACATTAACAATAACAACACGACACAATTAAAAACCAATGTCAGGGCCAGATGTAAAGGTTAAAATTTAAAAAGCTGGCCATAACCAGGTGAAATGGATAGATATTTTGGAGAATAGGTAGGGCATGCAGATAGTCCTAGATCTCTAGTAAAGTGAATTTGGGACAAAGTGCTTGGAGTTTCCTATTCTGGGAAGGCACACTGAAACAGCCATGTTTTCAAGCTCCTCCTAAAGACTGCCAACATTGGGGCATGCCTGATATCCTTTGGGAGTGAGTTCCAGAGTCGAGGGGCCACCACAGAGATGGCCCTGTCCCTTGTCCCCACCAACCACGCTTGCGATGCAGGTGGGATCATGAGCAGGGCCTCTTCGGAAGATCGAAGAGATCATGTGGGTTCGTATACTGAAATGCGGTCACGGAGGTAGGCGGGTCCCAAACCGTTCAGGCCTTTGTAAGTAAGAACCTGCACCTTGAATTGGGACCAGGAAATGAATGGCAGCCAGTGGAGCTCCTTAAACAGGAGGGTTGATCTTAACCTAAGTCTGAAACGACTTGAAAGCACACAACAACAACAATCCTATCTCATCAGCCAAAAGTAGCCCCACACTTCCCATTGAGATACTAATAATTTTATATTTGTTAAATTGTTCTTCATTTTAATTATTGTATTGTTTTTAAGTGGTTTTGCACTACAAATAAGATATGTGCAGTGTGCATAGGAATTCATTCATGTTTTTTTCAAATTATAATCTGGCCCTCCAACAGTTTGAGGGACTGTGACCTGGCCCTCTGTTTAAAATGTTTGAGGACCCCTGCTCTAATGTGAGGCAACAGAAAGCTCTTTTCACACACTTTGGGAGATTTGGGATATAATTGCCTTTTAGCATAAGTTTGCAAAAGTTTTCTGTCAACACAAAGGAGGAAAAGACCCCTATTTGTAGTATTGGATGACGTATTACAGGAAAAGATGAACAGTAATTACTTGCACTTGATTAACCAACATAAATGAACTAGGAATGAAACTATTAAGAAGAAGCTTTATGATCCACTTTTATATACAACATATTGTTCTCTTCATTCAACTCAAACATTGTGATACCTTTCAGTAGTGAAAATAACAATTCTCATTGTAAGCCCCAAAGCCTTCTGTCACAGCACAACCAACAGTAATTGGTGGTCTGAAGTGTCCCAGCTCCCAACACAAGATCGTCTCTCTGACAGCTATGGAGCAAAGTGCATTTGTAAAAATGATTAACAAACATAATCCACTTATATATATATATATATATATATATGTAAACAGCTAATCGGCAACAGGAATTATTCACTGGTGAAATTCAGCCACCTTTAAAGCTTTTTTCATGGTACCCACTTAAGAAGGATGGTGTGAGTAACCTATTTTAGTCTGTCTAACTGGATAGAAGTTCAAAATAAAATTTTGGCTGGATTGTCACCATTCATTTTTTCTTCATTTGCTATCAATGAGTATAAATCTGTTATAGCGCCAATCTTACAATTCTGTTTTCCCATCTTCAGTTCAAGAACCACAATCTAAAGGAGCTGCACATACAAGGAACCAAGAATTTAAATCAATCATAGAATGAAACATTTGAATGAACTTCAAGGCATTTCCTGTAGATCAGCAGAGTACGTGCGTTTCAGTTTCCTCGATTTCGACAAAACCACGCATATAACTAGTGCTTGGCTTCCGCAAAATCCTGTGCTTCTTCGAGAAGTGTATCTAAATCCTCATTATCCTGATCTTGAAAATCTGGTTCCCATTCAGAATCTTCATCAGTAGCTTCACACTCTTCTTCCTCTTCTTCATCATCTATAAAGTTGTCATTCAGATCATATTCATTTGGTTCACCATCATCATCACTCTCTTTCAAAGAAATTCCTTTACCTGTAGAACAAAATGTGTTTAAAAAGTCATTTGAAGCCTGAAATTCAATTGTCATGGCATGATTACAATATTAATTGACATTGTAAGATCTGAATTATAACATTTACTATTTTATTTTCCATGTACAGGTTGCTTCATATTCATAACAGTTTTAGGTAACTATGAACTGCTCAGATAAGATAACATTGAAGTTTGATGCAAATTATGATCTGATTATTACACCCTAAATAATGCCTTCAAGCTATCCATATAATTCTTCCAAATTAAACCCTGATACAAGCTAAAGTGAGAAGTAATTCCACAGTTTAGTCCATTGATCCACTTATGCAATATGTACAATGAAGCACCTGATATCGCTGCCTCAATAGTGATAGAATACCACAATCCTGACTCAGATGAACATGAGCTTTATATGTAATACAAACTGCAGATCAACTCCAATTTCTAGATGAAAACATTAATCCCATTTTTAAGGAAAGTAAGTAGAAAGCCCAAAAAATCTTTATATGAAAAGATTAAAATCATTCTCTCTCTCATTCATACACACACACACACACACACTAGCTATACCCCCCACAGGTTGCTGTGGCCAACCTTCCCTCCCACTTTCCTTCCTTCCCTCTTTTTCTTTCCATTTTTCTTTCTTCCTTCTCTACCTGTTTCTTTCCTCCCTCCCTTTGCTCTTTGGTTCCATCCTTCCTTGACTCTTTCCTTCCTTCCCTCCCTCTTTCGTTCCTTGTCTCCTTCCTTCTCCTTCCTTCCCTCCCTCTTTCATTCCTTGTCTCTTTCCTTCCTTCCCTCCCTCCCTCTTTTGTTCCTTGTCTCCTTTCTTTCCTCTCTCTTTCCTTCCTTCTTTCACTTTTTTATTTCCTTCTCTCCTTCCTTCTCTACCTTTCTTTCCTTCCTTTTTCTCTCTCTTTCTGTCCCTCCTTCTCTCCTTCCTTCTTTTCCCCTTTCTGTGTATATGTGTTTTGTGTTGTATATATGCATATATGTGTGTATATATTTGTGTATATATGTGTGTTTGTGTATATATGTGGTTTTGCACGTTGTAATGTATTTTTAAGTCTCTTCTGCTGTTTTTTTCAGTGTTTTTATGAGTGAAGGTCACTCGTTGGCCTGAGTGGTGTATTGTGTCCAAATTTGGTGTCAATTTGTCCACTGGTTTTTGAGTTATGTTAATCTCACAAATGAACACTACATTTTTATTTATATAGATGAGAGAATAAGGCTTTTATTCAAGATTGCAGATAGAACCACAATCATATAAAGCTAAGGGAAATAAGGATATGCGAAACCCCTCCTCGAAATTAACTGAGTGACAGATTGGTTCCTGTTTTGTTATTACAAACAAGAATGAGTAATTCCAAAAGTCTGGGACTTCTCTCATCAAAAAGACATTACAATTGGTCAGCAATGTGTTTTCTAGTTTAAGCTTTAATGATGTTTTTATCTGAGATAATGAAGTTGAAAAATCTAACACTTCTTCTCTTCCTGCTCTACTTACTGTCTTTCTGTACCTCTCAGAGTATATAATGAGAGTGATCATTATGAATCCTCTAACACATTATGAACCCGACAAACATATTTCTTGCCAGCATTTAGTCTCTACAATTGAAATAGTGATGAAGGCAAAACTCTTTTCAGCAAGAGATATGAGAAACATGGACGCTCTGCAATACCAATTACAAATGTAATCTTATACACACGGAAGGTAGGAGTACGTGTGGACTATGAAGCTGAATATACCATTGAAAGTCTGATATGGATCCTTGTCCAATGAGTACTATTGCTCAATTAGGAACAATATTTTTACAAGATCAACTGCAGTATGTGACTAATAAGGTTATGCTAACAATAGCCAAAAGTTATTTCAGTGTGTTA